GATGGGATATGATGGGATATCGTTTCAGAATTAATTTGGTAAATTCGTGCAATGTGTGTCGAGATGTGTCGAGAAAGCGCTGACCATGCAGGGAGCAGACCCGGGATCAACTGCTGAGAGCCCAGCATTCTGCCGCTTCTTTCTCATCCTCTGCCGCCTGGTTTACCTCAGCTGCCAAGTGAATAGACACAAAACTCACCGGTGAACTACAAGTGGTTTCATTGACTTTCCGAAGACTTGTTTAGGGAGGCGGTCTCATGCTGAGGATCCACCACTTCATGAAGCATGTTTGCCTTCATTATCCACGTGCAATGTGACAGACATAGACATGGACATAAATGGTCCTCCAGGTCGGGTCTCGACAAATGCTTGTGAACATGCAATGCTGCACAACATGTTTTTTGCCCCGCCATCCCAAAACACGAAATCAGTATGGTGCATGTTGAAGCATTTGAACAATCATCATGGGCATGCGCTGCAATGCACTGGTTGTGTTGCTTGAGCTGGGGATGTTTATCATGTAGTTTTTTCAATGTCAAAATGGGTTGACTCGTTCTTGACTTGTTCTTCTTGCAACTTGTTCTTCTCTTTCTGCGAAAGAGTTCAATCTTGTTTGAATTTGAAGGCCCCCAACCACTGACAGGTGAACTACTGTCACATTGCTCCTGTCACATGCCAGGCCGCTGCAACGACCGTCAGCGTGGTGCCAGGCATGACGTTCTCTTCTGCGAGCATCTTCTCTTCGTCCCTTGGCAGATACGGAAAGGTACCCTTGGACGAGCCAAGCTCTTGTTCCAGAATTTGTGATCTTGATTCAAGAGACCTTCATTTTGTTTGCTGTTGCACTGGTATGAACATCCGAACCATAAATTACATGCACGTGTACTAGATACTATTTGCAAGCTGCAATACCTGGGAATATCGGAATATCTCATTCCACTTTCACAAATTGTTCCAACATGTTCTAACCTGAGTCATTCTCCAGAGGACGCTGTGATTCTGATTGTCCTTCGCCGAATGAGCCTTTCCACACCTGTATTTTCCTGGACTCAATCTGACTTTCCTGGACTTATATAATCGCTGCATTCACCGACATTCGCCATTCACCATCCACCAACATCTTGACAAACCTACACAAAAGTCACTGAAAAAGCTCTGTTCTCTTTCTGAAAGACATTGCCGGATATCTCAAAGACATTGCCGGTACCGTTACAGAAGGGCCCATGGACCCAGTATGAGTTCACCGCTGCCACAACGTCGTGTTTTTGGTCCGGTTGCTTGTCCGGTTGAATCATATTGCAACCTTCACCAGGCGCAACATGAATGAAACGGCCGAAAGTTTTGAAGAGTTCTTTGCAGCCCAAGCAGCAACGGCTCCATGTTTGGACCAATCAAGCTCTTTATCGTAAGATCCAGTTTTTGCCTCGGGTTTCCAACTGCGCGACTGTGCAGCACGGCAGGCTGCAATCAATCCCCTACTCTTCTCTCATGTCTGTGAGCAGCGCCAGAAACGGACTGCGCCTTCTTCATTCTGCGTCTAAGTTGATATCCCTGGCCTCTTTGAAGAAAAAATGAAACTAAGATAATAAGACAAGTATATACCAGATTTTACCGCCATACATAGGAAGTACAACGGAGCATTGAAGGCCATGCAAATGCCTTGGGAATGTTCTTCCTCGACTCAACTGTTGCACATAGCATAACCAGTAACAGACACCTAGCAGAAGGAACAGCAAGACAAACAAACACAAAAACAGTGTCGTAGAGAATGCAAAGTCGCCAAAGCCAAGCCAGGACCAAACCCATCCAAACCCCACATGACATGCCGCACAACTAACGTGCTAAGGTGCTGAGCTTCTTCCTTCAGCTGTCGGATGGTCCGGTCTTGCAACCACAGGCCTGAGATTCCGAAAAGCAAACGAGAGTGGAGGTATCAACAATCCACTGATGCAGCCGTGTAGGGCACCAACCGGGTCATCACATCTGATGCCATTTAATTCGGAGAACAACATCGATTCATGAATTTGCAACTATACTTAACTCTTGAAAATCGACAGTAGCCACTTCTTTGCATGTCAACAGCAGAGATTCTACATGCTTACACTGGCTTACACCATCTTACACCTTGGACAAAGGGAGGTGTATCCATGGGGCGGCCGAGTCACATTCACAGTCTTTGCCACTCAGCAGAGCCACGAAAACCTGGCCGCTTGGCTCATGCACTAGCTTGCTAGCTAGATGACTCTGTGGATTTGAAGCGGTTTAGATGCGTTCAGATTGAATTTGATGGCAGACCATGAGAATTTGCACTCGCAAACACACGGTCCAACCAGCCAGTTCCCGAGTATACCTGTGTCAGCACAATTTCAGCACTACTACAGGCGCAAAAAAAATGAACAACTGAACATTCTGACATATTGAACACGGTTTTGGCATGGGACTGGCTCCCGCAAACCCATGACCTTCTTGTCATCGCTGTCCATTGCAAGGTCGTGAGGTGTGGTGCCTCGCAACACAACTCAGCTCCGAAAGCCAAACATCTGCAGCACCGAGCCAGAACAGAAAAGCCCACAGATCCCACAGGAACTTCATGATTTCATTCTCTTTCGCTCTTGCGGCGAGGTAAAAACATGTCCAAGATTCTGTTGCACGATTCCGAAAATCACTTGGTTGCATGCAATTCCTGCAATTTGCTCTGGATATGTGCAGGTTTCAAAGTAGATAAAATCTGGAAGGTGAGGCCCTGAAAGGTGAGACCCTGAAATCGAAAGACTGTGAGACATGAGACTTGGACCATAGTGAAAGGCCGCACTTTGACAGAGTAATGTTTCTACATTGACATGAAAGAAATATAATTTCATGTCTTTCAACCTGAACAATCTCAGCGCGAAGCACGGCGAGGGTTGGATCACAATCTCATTTGGAGCTAATGAGTGGCCAAGCAGTGCTGTGTCTCAGGGCAGTGCACAAATTATGTAATGTAAAAGGAAATCTCTATGCCAGGAAATACTTTTCAGAAAATTGGCTTTCTGATTCAAAATACAGAATCAAAGACTACCATGGTCTGCTTGTTTTGATTTCAAGAGAAATGTGTTTACAAGCAAAACCAACACCTCCCATTGGGCGCCCACTTCTTTGGCTCCATTGACCCTGATGTCCCTACAGCCGATACTTCAGAACTCCAGCAGACAAGTCAAGACATCTTAATTCTTGAGGTCTGAAAGATCACTTGAAACCTCAAATTTCCGAATACTTCCTGTTTATATCTGTTTATTCTGTTCAATCAGGATCACACATTCTAACCACAACTTCTAAGACACTCCTCCCGCGGAAACATCAACCATCGGCATGTCCGTGGCCTGCATCCGGAGGTCCCGGAAGAGCAGGCAGACTGTGATTCACCAGCTCTTCGGGCTCCTGGCGCAACAGAAACAACAAGAAGCAACACCTGCAATATGCACTGCACCCTTCTGGTATTCGGGATATCATTTTGTCCGAGATCTTCACACTTGAGTGTGATTGGAGATCAAGGATTTGCACTTGGAGGCATGGGACCCAGCTAATTCCTGTGCGCAAGCAGCACTTGTCAAGAGACGTTGAACGCAGTTTTGCCAAGGGGCTGACACCGGCAAGGCCATCACCTTATGGTCGTCTCTTTTACGAGGTCATGAAGTGTCACGCCTGCAACACGAATCAACGAGGCCAAACACTACCAGGTTGTTGAGGACTTTTGGACATGTGTGGCATGTTTCTGCCCATGCGATCTGGAGTTGATGCGGATGGCTTCTGGTTTCGGAGTTGTAGTACCAAGCTCAGAAGAGTGCACCCCTTAAAATTTAATTGAACTTTGCAAGGTCAACGAAGCTCATATGGTTGCGTGGAATTGATTTGTTCATTGAAAATGCACTGAGAAAACATGGGGAGTGTGGACGAGGCTGCTGCACTACAAGATTTCATGGTTGGACTGAAGTGGTTAAAAATTGCAAGGTTTGGATCGCCCACAGAAACACTCATCGAAATATGATTTTGGCGCAGAATGTGTAATGTCGGGCCTATGTTCTTTACACTTGACCGATTCCGCCGTTGGCTTGCACGGCGCCTCTCTGAGACATCTCTTTCTACCCGTATCATGCGAGGTCGACACTGCCTGCATAATTTAGGTCAGGGAAGACAACAAGATTGAACAAGTCAAGGCCGATGGCCAGCGTGTGACACGTGTCTGCAGGCCGCGAGAGTTTGGGTAGCTCCAAGTGAGGCTCTACAAATTTCTTCAAGACTCCACCCAACACATCATCACAACGACGTTCCGCGGATTTTTGGTTGAATTGAGCGAAGGTTTAACATGTTTCAAACATGCACAATCCAATGAACGCAATCATCAGATTCTTTGCTTTTTGGATGAGAAGGCACCCATGTCAGGATGTTCAAGACCGTTTTAAATGACAGCGTCATAAAGGCTGCTCAGAATGGCAAACAGAATGGTAGCAAATAAAAACATGTTCTGCGTTTTTTAACAGTCGACATATTCATACCTTTAGGATCCTTTAGGCACAATAAAACACCTCATTGCCCAGCTCAACTATTGTCAGACTTTCAGCATGTGTAGGCCAAGGCCAAGGCAAGCGCGTTTCCAGCCTGAAGAGTTGGAGCCACTCGCGCAGCCATGCAGCAGCGGGAGGTTCGTGTTCGATGGGCAAAACCAATGGACCAATCCAAATGAGAGGGGACCTGAGCAATTCCAGCATGGAAACTGACAACCCTGTGAATTTGTCCGTGTCACATGGGCTAGCAAGCTGGCGAGTTTGTCACCTGCACATGGCGACCGAGGCTTGATTTCAATCTTCCGAGGCTTGAACCACGATGTGGCAAGAAGCAGCATGATGACTCCAGACACTGGAAGCAAACAAAATGGTTGGAAGGAAACTCCAGAAGGCTCGCTGATAGAGTGTCGTTTCCGTGGTCGAAACATATCTGAGCAATAAAAGAGCCCAAATGAGAAACATGTTCCTTCAATTCTGCACCTCGCAAAACAGTAATCTATTTGTGCGCGCACAGATGTTTGCATTTTCGTACCGATTCGACCAAGGGCGCGTGAAACATGAAGGCCGCACCATCAATCCAGAGATCGCATCAACAGCTGAGTTAATGCCTCAGACTGTAGCTGCGTCTTGCTGGAAGTTTCGGACTCCGAAACGAACGACCTGCTCTTGTTGACACATGTGTGCAGCCAAGACTCGTCATTCTCAAGAATCTTCACAACTTCATCGTGGCCCTTGCTTCGTGCATCGTCCAATGGAGTCTGGCCTGAGCGCTGTAATTGATGTTGATTGCACCACACTCATGGGTCTTGATGTCATTTCAAAAGCCATATATTGAAGAATTTACTTGTAGAGATTTGTAGAGCGTCTGATGTATCGAATTGCGTCACTCTAAAAAACATTGTTGCCGTCATTCTTCACGCCAGTTATTCAAGCTGCTCCAAACGCTATTCACACCCCATGTTAACAATGTTGATTGGGCTGAAGTTCTATCTCCCAGAGACAAGCCCTCCTTGAACCACAGGGCCAGAGTCCAGAGCTTGCCATTAATTTCATGGTAGCGTTCATAGACTGTGTTGAAACTTGTGGAAAGACTGCAGTTTCACATCACTTCGGCATCCCTTTGTGGCATTCGAAGTTGAAGGAGACCTTCAAATTCGAACCCACAGACCAAAACAAAGAACACATGCATTTGAAATGGTGCTTCTCACAAGAAAGTATTCCCGAGATGTTGCTTTCAAGTAAAATACCCTCAACACAAAATCAACCGATTGGACGGTTCCTGTTGTAGTTCAGTCCAGGAGGGCAAAGAATTCCAATGAGAAAAAAATCCTGAGAATCAGGTTGTCCATACATGCCCATACAGCTTCGAGATGGCAAGTTCGGTGTTGTATAATTTCGCTCTGACGTCTTGAAAAATATTTCGAACAAATGAGGATATGTGTATATGTAGTATGCACGCATCATTTTCATGCAAGGTATTGCACATGCGGAGGCTGGATGTGCGTTGTGCATATTCACAGATACCATGGATCATATGATACATCATGATACATTTCTATCAACAAACATTCAGTGAGTCTCCATCCATTGAGACCTCGTCCCATGCTGCGTGCGTTGTCTCAAGCAATGCTGTGTCTCCGCATCTCCAATCAGCTTCAGCCAAACAACCCTAGTGCCTGAGGACCCTAAGACCCCTTGATGGCCTCCTGACCACAGGAAGTCGCAACGTTCAACAAACAAAATGCCGCCACAAAGTAATAAGTGAAGTAATAAGTGTAGCAATATAATATGATAAAATAAGAAAGCAAAAGCCATCAAAAGCCCATCACATCTCCCAGCCGAGGCCCCCGGCCTTCGTTGTCTTTCACAGTGACGGAAGCTTTCGCCTCGACGAGCAGCTTCACCACCTTCACGTGGCCAGCGTACGCCGACAAATGCAGCGGGGTGTTGCCTCGGGCCAGCGACTGCCCCCAGAAATGTCCTTCTGATGCAAAGCAAAGCGAAGACCCCGAAGATTGTGAAAAGATTGTGGAAAATCCATGAACGTCCCAAGTCTCCTAGAAGGCGCACATCCAAGGCTCCATCAAAAGCTAAAAATGTCCACAATTCAAATCCTTTCATTACTTATTTTATGATTCAAATTATAGTTGTTTGAACTGTGTGATATCTGTTGTTTTTACAAATCCTGTCCATGTGATGTGGTTGTTGATGTAAATGATTTCAACTGGAAACTGCCTTTTTAAAACCCTTAAAACTTAAAACATACCAAACTCATGCAAACTCAACAAAACTGCCATGCGTTTTCGAATTTTTTAGCACCCTGAGCCGAGAGGCCTCTGTCGTCCCTGGCGTCCACCTCGGCCCCCGCCGCCAGCAGCACCGGGCAGATCTCCGCGTGGCCGTCGCCCGCCGCCGCGACGTGCAGCGCGGTCCACCCGTCGCCGTCCGTCGCGGCCGCGGCGCCGGGCACCGTCCGCAGGATGTGGCGGATCCCCCCGAGGTGACCGCGCCGGGCCGCCACGTGGATGTCGTTGTCGCCTCGGGGGGCCACGGGCCGCAGAGGCCACAACGGATACCCAAAAAATCGTGGAACACGTCGAATGTTTTGTATTTTTTTTGAGTCAACAACGAAGTGTATTGATGTGTATTGATGTGTATTGTATGGCTTGGATATGCTTGGATTGTAACGAAGACATACGAAGACTATCGAAAATAGAAACATCATGAAACATCTGGTCTTGAGGTCACTTTTCCAGCTGTTCAACTTTAACATGTTATCATCTCAAACCATCTCAAACGTATGATCCAAGGCCCTTGGCATCTTAGCGTCACATGTGGAGCCAGGCCCTGGATCCAATTTTCCATTTCCTCTTGCTCATAGGGCACTGGGTCACTTGGCGTCTCAAACTAGTCTTGTCAGGTTGTACTCCATCTATGACATCTACGTATGCAAGCTGCGAGTGTTACCATCTTCTTCGTGTCAAAGTGATGACTGTATATAGTACAGATATGTACAGATAATGTATGTATATGGATTGTATCAGTTGTATGGTAATTGGATGTAATTGGTGTGTGGTGGCATCATGGCATTTGCAAGGGATCAAATGCCTCTGCCAAAACTAGATCCAATTATATTCACGGCCCCTCTGATGTGGAATTGTGGATCATACAACTAACGCACACCTCCAAATACAGATGATGTCTCAGTGAGGTTGCGCGGCTTCCATTGTTTCCATGTTCGATCTGCTCTATCGTGTCATCATCTCCACGTGATAATCTCAAATTGAAAATCTAAACTGGTTAGAGGCATGGCATTGTGAGACTCAGAAACGGGTCACGGAACTGTTGCAAAAAAGTGTCCGAAGATCTCAACTAAGTCTATATTCACATCTGAATACATCTCAACCAACTTGCACTCAATCCGTATTTGCCTGCTGTTCAACGCTATGATTTTATAAATGTTTATAAATTTATAAATCATATCTCGCATCTCAAAGCGATGATCTGCAAGATCTCAACCTCTAAGACCCCAAGATCCTGTAAGATCCTGAAGAATCTCTCCAAGACCCTGACATTCTGCAGCTTCCTCTGCATCGGCAGCTTCTTGGGCTTCTCGGGCTTCTCGGACTTCTTCAGCCTGCCGCTTGGATGGGCAACATCGCAAGAAACTCACACGGAGGGTCTTGGGCACAGCAGCAAACAGCATGTTCTACATGAAAAACAAGTGCCCCCATATCAAACCTCTCAAAACTTCAAAGACAGTGTACAGTGTGAGACACGATACTTCCGCACCTCCAAGGATGCTACCTCTTCCTCAGCTTTTCCCGTGGGTGATCGAGGGTCAAACTGCAGCTGTGAGATCGGCTCCTTGATGTCAATGACATCGGCGTCCCACACAGATGAATCCTTGATCTCCACGACCAACTTGTCACCGGGCTTGTCACCCGCCTCAGGTGCAGTTGTGGGGTCTTGACCTTCTTCCAACATTGGCTTTGAAGGTGGCACAGCATCTGGCTTCAGAGGATCTCTTTGGATCGCCCTGGCATCTTCTCTTCGCGATGAATCTTCCTGCGAGACCTGAATTGCCAACTTCGATGGCAGCTGCACTTTCGTCAAGGCTTCAGCAGCAGCAGTGGTGGTCTCGGCCATAGCTGTGGATTCATTAAAGGTATCACTTTTGAATTTCGTGACCCCCAAGAACTCCAGCCAACCTCCTCGGAGGAGCTGGTTCACAATCACTGCCTGAAGCTGCGCCCGAGTGATAGCCTGATAAATAATGGAACGTCCAACCTGATTTGCACTTTGGCCAGCAACTCTTTGATCAAGACCAATGCACACCACGATGAGTGACTCCAGTCCCTTTGCATTCTCCACTGTGTCCAGCAATATCATCTCTGCATTGTCTGCCTGTGTGGCCTGCTTCACTTTGACGTTTGGCAGCATGCGTAGCGACTCAGTAAACGATATCAGCTTGAAGTTTCGCCCTGCAAGGCGTGCCGTCAAGAAATGTCTTTGCAACGCATCTCGGAACTCCTCCAGAAAGTCAGGGTTGGGAACCAAAAGCACCAAGCGCTTGTGCAAACTGAGTCCAGCGTAGATGCACATGACAAAAAATAATGCAGATACAGTGTGTTCGGCATAGTTTTCGTAAAGCTGTCCATCAGACTCAAAGAGGAAAGCCTTCAGAGGGGGCCCAGCTGGGCATAATGAGCCGATCTGATCTTTCTCTGCCGCACTTGCTTGAAATGCAGCTGCCCCAGCCACGATCCTCTGCGTACTGCGCACCACTTGGGTCATTGTGATCTTTTTGGCTGGTGGAAAGTCCACTGCACCAAATGAGTTTTGGGATACGCTCGACAAGAACAGCACCTGTCGTGGTGCCTCAATCTTCTCTTCCAGAAAAGTGCGGTTCCCATCTGTACAGAAAATATCATGTGCTTCATCGATGATGGTCAAGAGAAATCGCATCTTGCTGTCGGGCAAGGTCGTCCAACCCAAGCGGTCACCGTCAACGTGCAAGCTCAAAAAATGTTGGTATGGATGTTCCATCAACACAATGCGCCTCAACAACATATGAAGCTTCCCACGGCTTGGAGGGCTCTGAGCGAGCCACCGCACGAAGTAGAGGCCAAGGGCAATGGAAGGTGCCACGAACAGAATGTGTCCTTCATGATTGCTTCTGAGCTTATCCAGTGCACATTGTGCAGCTACGAACGTCTTCCCAGCTCCTGCAGGGGCCGATAAATGGACGTCTTCATCTTTGATGAGATCCTTGATTTCTCTCACTTTCTCCTTTTGATGGTCTGTCAAGTCTGATAGGTTCTGCAATTCCAGTTCGAAAACTTTGCAAAAGAATGTCTTGTCCACATGGATTTGCCAGTTGACCAAACCTTTGTTGATGTTGCTTTCCAACTCATTGCTCAAGACCAAGTCGCGCACGTGCTGAAGTAAATCAATATGCTTGATGCGAAGTCTAATCGCCAGTGATGGAGTGCCATCGGGGAATAAGAATTCCTGATCCTTGAAGGTCTTGAGATCTGGCGGTAACGAGTTTTTCACCAGGCCGATGAAGTGTTCACGTCCAACTTCTGCAAGCATGGTTTGTATGAAATCAGCATGCCTTATGCGATCAGTTACGAACAGCTGCCCACTACTTCGAGACTGTATGGTCCATTTTGAGTCCTGGGGTTTATTCGGTATCCTTGAGGGAACACCAACTAGTGTCCCCCTACACCACTCTTTGCCGTTGCAGGCATCAACTTTCGCGCCAACTTTGAACTCTTCCTTCAGGAAATGGCTGACATCCACATGATCGTACTCCCAAGCCTCTCCCGCCTCTCCTTCCTGTCGCCTCATCAGCTCCAAATGTGCTATTTCACACTTTTGGCTGCCGCCGCAGCCGACTCCATCCCAAAGATCGATGGCGTCACTTTTCAAGTGATCAAAGGGAACGATTCCTTGACCAGTTTGGCCCGGAAAGAACACTACCTTGAGACGTTGTCTCAACTTCACCGCCTGTGCCACCTGTTCCTTCCATGTGTGGAACCATTGGCACCCCCAGGAGGCAACTCGGCCACTGTCCTCCCAAGCTTTTCGTGCTTTTTGTTCAGCTTCTTGTTTGGTTTCCCTCGTGGCATCTACGCGAACAACGACAGTGTTGGTTGCCTTTGCTTTCTCTACCTCTATCTTCATCTCATCTTTGCTGCAAGATGCTGGCAACTCTTTCAAGTAACCGAAGGTTCTAAAGTCCCGCTGCCCATAAATTGTGTGGCAGTAGCAATCACCATCAGGACCTTTGTGGTGTTTTCCCAAACCATCAGTTGGAGAGCATAGGAACACACATGCCACAGACTGTCCGTGGTGTTCCTTGATCAAAGCATCCCAACCGGCTGCATATTTGCCAGGAAAGGACACATAGCAGTCCACACCTTCTTCCTCCTTGATGTGGCCGTGGTAGGCGATGTCCGCAGTTCTCTCCAAGATGGCTGGCTTGTCTCGCAATGTGAAGTATAGATGAGGTTCTTCAATGTCAGCCTATTCAACAAAGTGAGAGTTTTCTGATCATGCACTTACCCTCTGGTAAACTAACATAGCTCTGGAAAATCACTATTTTTACAGTAATGGGTAAATCCACTATACATGACAATTTTCAATAGCTATGTTAGTTTACCAGAGGGTAAATGCGGGTTTGATTCAGTTGTGACTCCATGACTCTTGTGCAAAAAATGCGAACTGTCTAACACGAACAAAGGCCCTAAGTGCCCTAAGGTACCAGAAGAATTTCAGACCAAGGCGTTTAAGGACCTGAATGGCAAGGGGGATCATGTATGAAACACTCTGTTTCTGAAAGGTCCCTGCTTGGAACCAAGTTTCGAAAATTTAGGCTTGATTCTTTGAGTCTTCTGTCTACGATTTCCCATTGTTCTTCTGTTTCGCATAATAATCATAATCTGTTGCAAAAGTTTTAAGCATCAAGCGAGGTCTATTTGACGGCACCTGCGCTGCAGCTTCTGGTTGACGCAACGAGCGGACCTGTGAACATCAATGAATCCTTCGGGCTTGGAGCCTTCATCGAATCGTGGATGCCAAATTTCACAAGGGTTTCTCAATTTCACAAATGAGATTCAAAATGATTCAAAACGGATCCTAATTCTTGAGGGTCGCAAATCAAGACTGTTTTGTTTGGAATGGAGAAAGCAGAAAATTAACATGCATCACCCGACTGGGTTTTCAATTGCTTAAAGCATCAAAAGCCTTAGGGCACTTTGCCAGTTATTATCTGCCAGTATTGCTTCAGTGCTACTGTGGATGGAAGAAATCCTGCATCACCTGGATGATTGAAAACCTATAAATAATGGGATAAACCATCTACCAACTGGTTCAGGATTTCTTCCATCCACCGTAGGACTCTTCCAGGGTTCAGAAGCTTGTTGCAATAGCTTGTTAGACACCCGCTTTGCCTATGGCTGTCAGGCTGGAAGAAGGTATAATACAGTGGGCTCACGGAATTTAATTGAAATTCTGCAAGACTTAAGGTCCGACTTTTCGGAAACGAACTCCAAAAACAAAATAAAACAAACACTGCCAAGAAGGAACCATTGAATCACCTAAAAGTTCGGCCGGCCACACCTTGGAGTATGACCCCGACTTAATTTTTCCCCATGGGTTTTTCCCAGCAAAAAATGGTGGTTAAGAAATCAAACCGGCTTCAAAAGTTCTACACCAGCAGAAAAATCCGATTCCTCCAAAACAAGGGCACCATCGAAAAAAGATGTGCAACCTCTATGGGTTCATCAGGATGTCTTCCCTTGTGCACCTCTTCTTGGAGTTGCGCCACCTCTTCTTGGAGTTTTTGCGACTCGTAAGCTCCAGCCTTCCAGGCAGATCGGGGATGTGAGAAGCGTTCACGTCTTCACCGCTATGAAATCATGTCAAACTCATACTAGATGTCTCAGACAAATCTATACAAATCCAACATATTCTAATCATTTAGAATCAAGAAGTCTTTGGAAGTGCATTTTCAGAGTGTTGAGCTAAATGTATCAAAATCTGCTTCGCATAGGTTGCAAAAAAAATCCGCTCACCGGCAGCTCCTCCACTCTTCTTCGCAGGCTGGGAGCCTTGCAAAGCAGTGTACAGGATCCAATTCAGCCAGCCGATTTTTTTGACGCAAAATGCACCTTGAATCCTCAGCAAATTGGGTTCAGTGAAGATTAGTGAAGTGGCATTCGAGAAGGCAAGGCGTGAAATAATGACACGTGACCAAAGAAGGAGTTAGAGCTTGCAGGATTGACTTTGTCTATGCGTGGCTGCATTTTGTCCAATTCGAACTGGATCCCAAAACGCTGGACAAGCGATCCAACAGAGGTTGATATGACAAACATCAAGCCCAAGAGGCTCGACTGTTCCAACAGAGGTCAAATTTTAGGCATTCCTCCACACGGCCCGGATCCCGGATCAGCTGACCCCACCATCTTCTCGCCTGTTCAAGGGCGGTGTCCACTGCAGCGGCCTCCATTGAGAAAATGGTGGGGGATTCGGTTCCTTGCGGCATCTGTTTTTGTGAGAAGAAAATCCAGCTTTGGGGTTGACCATTGAGGTTCTAGCAACCCCAAAATAGATAGAAATACCATGAAATACCTGTCTGCACGTGTCAGCACTCATTTGCGGACGAACGCAAATGAATCCAAATGAATCAACCGCCTCCTCGGTTGTCAGCTGGTATGCCTGAGCCGAGCTTCCGCTACCCATGGTGAGCAACCTGGCAGGTGACATCTCAAGAGTCCAGCATCCAAGAACCGACTGAGCACATGGAGGTCACAGAACTGTTCCCTTTTCGGAAAATATTGAAAACGCGTTTGACATGGCGATACGTGGCTCATGAAAAAAAACCGCTTAAGTGACCTGTAGATAGTGATTTCATCCAGTCGTCGTTCCAGTCGTTCTGCCTGGAGTCCTGTCAAACGGTCCTTGCGGCCCCAATTTTTTGGCCTTCCTGGAACCTCGGAATAGCATGGAATAGCACCGTCGAAAGTTTAAACACTATTGTTATGGTGAATTTAATGGTGATTTACTGGCAGAATCTGGATTAGTCAGATTAGTCCATGATATCCACTTATCAAAGGAAGTTGGGAAGCAATACTTCCGTGTTACGGACAAATAGAATTCTGCGACTTGAAATGATGCAGGGTGGTAGATCGCATAACAATACATAACAAAAGAATAAGAAGCAGTTAATGACGGGTGGTGACGAAGGGAAGTGGTGACGATGGGAGTGGTGAGGAAGGGAAGTGGTGAGGAAGGGAAGTGGTGAGGAAGGCAAGTGGTGACGAAGGGAAGTGGTGAAGAAGGGAAGTGATGATGAAGGGGAGTGGTGACGAAGGGAAGTGGTGAGGAAGGGAAGTGGTGAAGAAGGGAAGTGGTGGCGAAGGGAAGCGGTGAAGAAGGGAAGTGATGATGAAGGGGAGTGGTGACGAAGGGAAGTGGTGAGGAAGGGAAGTGGTGACGAAGGGAAGCGGTGAAGAAGGGAAGTGATGATGAAGGGGAGTGGTGACGAAGGGAAGTGGTGAGGAAGGGAAGTGGTGACGAAGGGAAGTGGAGAGGAAGGGAAGTGATGATGAAGGGGAGTGGTGAGGAAGGGAACTGGCAACCATGAAGGGGAGTGGTGCATGATGTTGCAAGGGCTCTGTTTTGGGGAGGAAGCCGGAGCACGAAACCTTGTGTTTTTCCGTGTAAAGTGGCTGCAGGCGGCGATGAAAGGTTCCTCGTCTGTGCGGCGGGTGCGGCTGCGGTCGGTTGGTCGTTTTTTTTTTGCCGCAGTGTAACGGTGGCTTCAAGCTGCTTTGGGTGTGCTTGTGTGTGCGTAGTTATAGGGTGTTTTGGAATCTGTGGTTGCAGATCCCATTGGAATGGCTGCATGATGTTGCATGGGCTATGTTTTGGGGAGGAAGCCGGAGCACGAAACCTTGTGTTTTTCCGTGTAAAGTGGCTGCAGGCGACGATGAAAGGTACCTCGTGTGTGCGACGGTTGCGGCTGCGGTCGGTGTATCGTTTTTTTTTGGCCGCGGTGTCACGGTGGCTTCAAGCTGCTTTGGGTGTGCTTGTGTGTGCGTAGTTATAGGGTGTTTTGGAATCTGTGCTTGCAGATCCCATTGGAATGGCTGCATGATCTTGCATGGGCTATGTTTTGGGGACGAAGCCGGAGCACGAAACCTTGTGTTTTTCCGTGTAAAGTGGCTGCAGGCGACGATGAAAGGTACCTCGTGTGTGCGACGGTTGCGGCTGCGGTCGGTTTATCGTTTTTTTTGCTGCAGTGTCACGGTGGCTTCAAGCTGCTTTGGGTGTGGTTGTGTGTGCGTAGTTATAGGGTGTTTTGGAATCTGTGGTTGCAGATCCCATTGGAATGGCTGCATGATGTTGCATGGGTTATGTTTTGGGGAGGAAGCCGGAGCACGAAACCTTGTGTTTTTCCGTGTAAAGTGGCTGCAGGCGACGATGAAAGGTACCTCGTCTGTGCGGCGGGTGCGGCTGCGGTCGGTTTGTCGTTTTTTTTTGCCGCAGTGTAACGGTGGCTTCAAGCTGCTTTGGGTGTCCTTGTGTGTGTGCGTAGTTATAGGGTGTTTTGGAATCTGTGCTTGCAGATCGCATTGGAATGGCTGCATGATGTTGCAAGGGTTCTGTTTTGGGGAGGAAGCCGGAGCACGAAACCTTGTGTTTTTCCGTGTAAAGTGGCTGCAGCCGGCGATGAAAGGTACCTCGTCTGTGCGGCGGGTGCGGCTGCGGTCGGTTTGTCGTTTTTTTTTTGCCGCAGTGTAACGGTGGCTTCAAGCTGCTTTGGGTGTGCTTGTGTGTGCGTAGTTATAGGGTGTTTTGGAATCTCCGGTTGCAGATCGCATTGGAATGGCTGCATGATGTTGCATGGGCTATGTTTTGGGGAGGAAGCCGGAGCACGAAACCTTGTGTTTTTCCGTGGACGGTACCTCGTGTGTGCGGCGGTTGCGGCTGCGGTCGGTTTGCTTTTTTTTTTGCCGCAGTGTAACGGTGGCTGCAAGCTGCTTTGGGTGTGGTTGTGTGTGCGTAGTTATAAGGTGTTTTGGAATCTCCGGTTGCAGATCGCATTGTACTGGCTGCGTCAAGGTTGCTTGGTGCAGCGGCTGCATGCATAATACTATTGTCTTTTGCAGCTGAAGATCGTAAATCGTATTGAAATGGCTGCATCAAGGCTGCGAAAGTGATTTGTCAGCAGATTTTCTCAATTTTGGCGCTAATAATTTTCCTTTTGAAATTCCTTTTAAAAAGTGCTTCAAAATCGTCTTTTTGTCGCTTTGGCGTCGAGATCCGGTTTTGGAGCTGCAATTTCCGACGCCATTGTACGTAGTTCTATTGTGTTTTGCAACTCAGTCTCTGCAGATCGCATTGTAGTGGCTGCGTCAAGGTTGCTTGGTGCAGCGGCTGCATGCGTAATACTATTGTCTTTTGCAGCTGAAGATCGCAAATCGTATTGGAGTGGCTGCACCCAGGCTGCGTAGCGATTCGTCAGCAGATTTTCTCAATTTTGGCGCTAATAATTTTCCTTTTGAAATTCCTTTTAAAAAGTGCTTCAAAATCGTCTTTTTGTCGCTTTGGCGTCGAGATCCGGTTTTGGAGCTGCAATTTCCGACGCCATTGCACGTAGTTCTATTGTGTTTTGCAACTCAGTCTCTGCAGATCGCATTGTAGTGGCTGCGTCAAGGTTGCTTGGCGCAGCGGCTGCATGCGTAATACTATTGTCTTTTGCAGCTGAAGATCGTAAATCGTATTGGAATGGCTGCATCAAGGCTGCGAAAGTTATTTGTCAGCAGATTTTCTCAATTTTGGCGCTAATAATTTTCCTTTTAAAATTGCTTTTAAAAAATGCTTCAAAATCGTCTTTTTGTCGCTTCGGCGTCGAGATCCGGTTTTGGAGCTGCAATTTCCGACGCCATTGCGCGTAGTTCTGTTGTGTTTTGCAACTCAGTCTCTGCAGATCGCATTGGAATGGCTGCGTCAAGGTTGCTTGGTGCAGCGGCTGCATGCGTAATACTATTGTCTTTTGCAGCTGAAGATCATAAATCGTATTGGAGTGGCTGCACCCAGGCTGCGATAGCGATTCGTCAGCAGATTTTCTCAATTTTGGCGCTAATAATTTTCCTTTTAAAATTCCTTTTAAAAAGTGCTTCAAAATCGTCTTTTTGTCGCTTTGACGTCGAGATCCAGTTCCTTAGTAGTCGTACTGGGAAGTGATTCATGAAAGCTTAGATGACATATGAGAAGAGATGAGCTGGGATAAGGTGAGAAGAGCTCAGATGAGATGAAGTGTGGAGTGTGAAGGGTGCAGTGTGAAGTGTGGGGCGTGAAGAGTGCAGTGTGAAGTGTGAAGTGTGAAGTGTGGACTGTGAAGTGTGAAGTGTGGAGTGCGAAGTGTGAAGTGTGGAGTGTGCAGTGGGAAGCGTGCAGTGTGAAGTGTGGAGTGTGAAGTGTGGAGTGTGAAGTGTGAAGTGTGGAGTGTGGAGTGTGCAGTGCGCAGAGTGCAGTGTGAAGAGTGCAGTGTGTAGTGTGGAGTGTGAAGACTGTCAGGTGTGAAGTGTGACGTGGAGCTTCAAATGTGACATGTGAAATAAGACACCAGTTTCGCAGAGTGCACGCATGCACGGGCTTCGCTGGCGCACGGCGCATGCAAGTTCTATAGATGAGAAAGGTCTTATATATATCTTTAAGGCAACTTCCGCCCCGCCTCGTGCGGGTACTACTCGTATATATCTGGGTAAATTATAACGACCTGCACTGTGCTGTTGTGCCTGAGGCCAAGTGCTGTTGTGGCTGGGCAACGAATTCAGGAAGGAGTGTTGGCCAAAACGAAATGCCGATGACTTCGCAAAGGCACCGTTCCAGCCGCTTTGGATTCTTTGTGCATGAACTCAGGTTCCAATGTGTATCAGCAGCTGACATCAGCATTGCTATTTTGTCAAGTTTCAATCTGTTCACAAGTGCACACTGTTAAGACCTGCTGGTATGCTGTCCTTTGGAGCAAGAAACTGCGCCATGGCCACCATAAGCACAGGGAAGGTGACCCCTTGCTCAACTTGATCTCACAACTTGCAGAAACTGCCAAACCTCAGGTGCTCCTTGCAGGATGCGAGCATGATCCGGTGCAACTTTTCCACCACGCGCTGACTGGATCAAACTTCCTTGCAAGCTTGGAGGATTATTGCCTGGTTTATCGAAAGCAATTCCAGCAATTCTGCACCAACGAACAGTCAAAACATCTTAATTGCTACCATAAGGCATGTAGAGGGGTTCTTCCTGTCTCTAGAGATAAAAATGCTGCTGAATAGCTTGTGCAGATAGCACTACCATAACTCACTCACAACCAATGACATGCATATCTTGTTTGGGGATCAGCTATCTGTGCCGGCCATCAGGCTGCATCATTGGATCGTATGTACAATAGGGATCTTTGTCCCATCGTGACTCAGCGTTCACTCAGCCTGGCAACACTCATCCGGGCCTAGTAATAAACTTAGCTGGGCTTGGAATGCTGATGGATTCACAATTACGAACATCGGCGCAAAACCCAGAAGCTCTGCAATTTTCAAAACTGTCAGGAATGTCAGCAAAGATCGGGACTTGCTCAGCGTTAATGCATTTTTTTCAGAGGATGTGTGTGGAGCATTGGATCTAAAACTCTCTGTTGATGGGGCTGTAACCAAAGCTTCAGCACCTAGTCATGAAGTCTTCCAGTCAAAACAATTGGGCTCAACAGCGACATATATCACACATATGCGGCAACCATGTTGCACCACGATCGACCGCAGAACTTGAGAACCAGCAGACAGAATCCTTATATATCCTCATGCCGTATACCCTGCTAGCCCCAACAGATCAAATCCCAATAATCCTATAGAACCAGAACCAAAACCCCACATTCAAATGGGAGTTGATTGGATGTAAGTCGACAACTTCTGTCATCAGCCTGCGGATGACCAAGTTACCGAGCCGCTCTGGTCGACTGGTCGACACGTGCAACCAAGATGCAACACTCTCCAAAAGTGTCGCAACTTCATGCTGGCCCTGGTTTCTTGCAACATCCAATGGAATCTGGCCTGAGTGCTGCGACATGTAAATCTGATGCGAATTTCACACTCAGATAGCTGCCGTTGCAGTGTCAAAAGTCCCAGGTAAGTTTGCGGATGCATTTGCATGTATATGATTTAAAACATGTTAAAACATGTTAAAACCATATCAAGTCCTTTGGACGTGAAACACACGGAAGCAATTGCCCGCGGATTCAAAAGCCCATATAGAATGCGTGTTTCCATGCTGAAGTTCCGTCTGTTTGGGGAGCCCTCAGTGAACACCGCAGAAGGTTACATGTTCATGTCAAGTTGACTCGTGTATCAAGGAAGATTAATAGCTCCAAAGCTGAGGAATGGAAGCATGACACAGCAGAGGGGAGGTGCTTGTTTTGGAAAATGTCACAACTCAGCGCGGCCAAACTTTGGCAATGAAGGTCCATTAGCAGTACATGAAATTGTAATTGTCAATTGTCACAAATTTGAGTGGAGATAGAATGGACTGAGGAAAAGCATGCCATATTGACGATTGTGTACTTCATGGTGCACGGACTGCGCAAAAAAGGCATGTCTGAGATTTTTTTTGATAGAAGAAATCACTGGCTCAAACAATTTAACAAGCCAACATTCATGGGTTCCTCTTGCAGTTTCGCAGTGTCCTTTCTGATGTCCTAAGATTCGCCTGCGAATGCTTACTATGTCACCACATATCCAAGTGCCTTGCGCTAAACAGCCTTCTGTGTGACTGAGGACCTTTGATTGTTTGCTAACTCTTAAATGATATCTGAAAAATTACAGGGTTTTCCCATGTTTTTCCCATGTTTTCCCATGTTTTTCCTATGGTTTTTGAGTGAATCTTCCCATCTCCCAAGGCCCCCGGCACAGCCGGAGGCCGCCAGGGCCGCCAGGTGCAGTCATACCGCCAGGGTCGTCTCTAGAAGTGTCCTTCGACAAAGTGAGAAAGAACTGAAACACATGTTGTATAGTTATGTATAGTTATGTATGTATGTATATATATATAGTTATGCATAACATGTTGTATCATGCTGTATCACGTTACAAAATTCTATTGTGTAGCCGGGTGTTTGGGCCCCCCTGCGGTCGTTGTTGATCAAAATCACTCGCGCTTTCGCCTCAAGGAGCAGCGTCACCACATCTGCATGGCCACCGAAGGCCGCATCGTGCAGTGGGGTGGAGCCTTGGTGCACACAGAACTTCCAGTCCAACGAGAATTTGAAGAGAAAAAAGTGGCAGTGCTTCTCTAAAAGTACTCGTTTTGACCCAAAAGTCGCATGTTGTTCATTATGTTCATTGCGTTTTTTTCACGCTCTTTTCACGCATTTCAGCGGGCAACCTCTTTGTATTGAATTGACAGCATGCCGCAAGCACAGCGTAACACGTAAAGGGGAACTGTGTGAAAAGGTTTCAAGTCAAACGGGGACGTTGGGTGTCTTCATCCCATACTCCGATACAAGTTGGTTTAACCATTAACATCCATTAACTATAGATATATCTACCATACAGTAAACATCAGTAAACCATAGTTTTTATAGTTAGCTGGAGCTCCCAGCGCACCAAGCAGCCATTTTGTCCCGTGACATTCACGTCGACGTCGGCCGCGAGGATGCTACAGATCTCTACGTGGCCCTTGCCCGCTGCCAGGTTCAGCGGGTCTGACCTACGGCGGTTGACGCCCTGCTGGAAGTGGCAACCGTGCCATCAGAAATGCGAAGCATGTCATAGTCCAAAATCTCTACTGAAAAGCTGATATCGGAACACCACATTCAAGTCTTGAACCTACTCTTTTTCCCCACAAGTCATATCAAGAGCGTCCACGCAGTCAAGTCTTGAACCCACTCTTTTCATGGTTTCAAAGTAATCCCCTTCAATCGTCCCGCTCAACGGTTTTGGGTCCCACTTGATGTCTCTCCGAACACCCCAAAGATGCCGACTTTGCCCCCCAGCCACAAACAACATCAAACAGCCTACTGAGGACCTTGAGATAATTTGCCTTGTGGTCCCAATTAGCATCATCAGCCGAGGCCCCCGGCCACTGTTGTCCTTCACATTCAAGGCCTTCCACTCGATCAGTAGCTTCACTACATCCACATAGTTGTCGCTGATTGCATGGTGCAGCGGGGTACAGCCTTGGGCGGCCGCCCCTAGAATTTTTCCATGAATTGCAGATTCAAGTCAACAACAATTCCCTCCTGGTGACATCTTCCAGTGCCACAGTCAAGTCTTTGACCCAAGACAGTAGATATTGGATACTGGAAGTGACATGCCGCTTCATACGACTTAAGTCTGCGGCATGTCACTTCCAGTCACTTCTCATTGGATCCAGGGTCCCAGGCCTGCGTCCGCAGCAGCTGCCGCAGGGCGCCCAGGTGGCCGCCCCAGCCGCGAAGATGTCCTGGCCTCGATGGAAAAACATGGAAAAACGGTGTGCCCATTGGAAACTTTGAAGCTGAACAGGCTGATGAACTTGAAAAAAAAGTATCAAAATGATACAAAATGTGCCATTGAAGGAGGTTGGGCATCTCGGGGATATCTGTGGCAATGGCCTTGCGATTGTGTTTTTTCGAATCGATCAACTGAGAGCCCAGCATTGGTTCTCTGCAGCTTCTCTCTCATCCTCCTCTTCCTGGTCTACCTCAAGTGGAGAATTTGCTCATGGAGATCACTTGATCAAATAAGCCGAGTAAAATGGAGTAAAATGGCGGCCATAACCATCCCATCACCATCTGTGGAGATTTGCCAGGGTTTCGACCTCAACGGAGAATTTGAAATACTGATAGCCTGATAGCTGGTAAAAACAGAACATCCTGGTGGCGTAGCTATTGCTTCTTTGGCTTAAGGAAACTACAATTGGAAGGCATCACAAGAACTTCCCCAGCCCGGAAACAGTTTCAAAGTCAGCCCTTCTAAGAATGATAGAGTTTGAGTTGAACAGAAGCCAAGGAAATGCGTCGGACAACGAAACAATATGAAACAATCTTTCTGAACCACCTGAAACGGCCACCTTAGAACTAAACCACAAGGCCCGTGGGCTGAATCGGGCTGAATGTGTAAACCAATTGCTGCATCCACAGCTGGAAATCTTTTCCACCTCGAGGCAGTTTTGTGCATTTTCACATACCAAGACACTGCCACCACGGTCAGTGAGCTGCCAGGCAGGACGTTTTCCTCTTCCAGCGTCTTCTCCTCACTCCTTGAATGGCGAAGGGAATCCAAGGAGCCTCTGTTGAACAGTTTGGGACAAACAAATCTGTTGCTCTGCATGGTGCTTTCCCGCTCTACTGGAACGCAGAGGTTGGCTTTACAAACAGTTTCCTGCTGAATCACAGGGAAGATCTGGAGCGACACCAAACATCCAATGCAAAGTGCGTCCCTTCGCATTAGTTCATTCCATCTTACTAAGTTGTTCGTTGGCAATTTTGCTTGCAAACTAAAAGTAATCAAAAAAACATGCCAGCTAAATCATTTTCTATTGGGTGCACTGCTCTTCTCATCGTATGCCATGTTGACCTTTCAACCTTGTTCTTGGCATTAATCTTTCCCATCAGTGCTGCATTTATCTTTCACCATGTTCACAGACCTTCAGAAAGAATCCCTCAGAAAGAGGTTCCAGGAAACAGTCCGAATGACCTTGACTAGACTTGAGAAATCTTGACTAGCGTCTTATTCCAAGCATTCCAAAACATCCAACGTTGGACGCCCAAGATTTTGCTGATCTTAGGCCCTTTTTTGGCCCTGACCAAAACATCCCCATTTTTCTGGCCAAGTCCACGCGGCAGCGGCTGCAATGGGTTTTTAGAGCTGTTGCAACATCCCACGGACCACGGAAAGTCCAGGAAATAGAGAGAAAATATGTCGATAAAGGGGCTATAAACATCTTATGCAGGACACATGGTACGAAGATGTATAAACGATGTATAAAACGATGAAGAATGATGAAGAATGTGTATCTGTTCCACAGCGATTACCATCTGGCAATTTAACAGTTTGCTATGGGAAAATGGCCCAGTCAAAATTGTTGATTTACCGATTTACCCATCAAACATGGTGATGTTCCATAGTTATGTGGCTGTGTACCAGAAGGTACTCAGCACTGAAAAAAACCAAGGAGCTGGGCCTCTTCTTTCAACTGCCCGATGGTCTGCGAGAAATCGCCTGAGATTCCGCTACAAATCGCCACAACAGTCCAGGTGTCCATACATACTCATATGACATAGTCTGTCAGAGACAGTGTACGTATGATCAATGTTCTATGAGTATGTCTCTTTCTAGAATGATCAATGTGTCATACATTCTATAAATGAGAAAAATTGGGTCAAGTGATCAATGTTCCTGTCATTTGGCAAAAAAAAAGTTGTGCGCCGCATGATCAATGTGTTTGTGACAGCATGATCAGTATGTGTGTTTCATAAATGTGGTCTCTCATGGGCAACTCATATCAACTCATTGTGATTAAGTCAAGTAAATCATGGATACAATGATCAACTTATCATTGATTAACTCATTGATTTGATTAAATCATTAACCAAGTCATTAAATTTTGCTTCCCCCAACTGCAACTCCAACTGCTGCCGCCAGGGCACATCCACAGCTTCTTCCGCTCATCAAGGCCACAACAACCTGGTACCGGTCACAGCTGGTGATTGCGGGATGTTTGCCACCATCGACTTTTGTTAAAGAAGAAACACTAGTTGGAAACCTCTAACCACTATATATATATATGCAACTGATCTATCTGGTAATCAATGTGATCCATCATGGTATCACTTCGTATTTGCATGTTTTTTGAGGTTTCGACTTGGATTTGATTCAGTTGATCAAAGATCTGGAGGAATTCCGCACAAGTCAACAGTTGTTGGTCACGCCTGACCGTCGCTCTCCTTTGCGAGGTCATGAGGTGGAATGCCTTGCAACAAGACGCACCATGGCACCATGCCGAAAAAAATCAAGCAAAGGCAGTTCAAAGGCAGGTCGGCACATTGAGAAAAATCTGTATATGAATATGGAAATGTCAAAGTTTTACTTCTGATCACAGAATGGATACATGTGATGAGATGTATATATTCACAACTGAAAAGTGCTTGAAGGTCTTGGGAGAAGTGGATTCAGCTTCTGAGATCTTCTGAGAGCCCAGCGCTCCACAGTTTCCTTCCCATCAGCTTTGTGATCCTCAAGTGTTGAACAGAAACATCAAGGTGACAGCGAAGTGAGGTAATCGCTTCCAGTTTCATGAACTTGCCAAAAAAACAAAGGTGCCCAACTGCCCAACCCCAGTGTGTCAAACAATGACATTGTTGGATGCCTCGGTTGCCATGCATCCAATCAAGCGTTGTCATCTTTATTTATGTTATTTGAAATGGGAACCAATTCTCCAGTTTTGGACAAACCCATGCCATCCCATGCATTTTAATGTTGCTATATAAGCCAAGATTATATTATACGTGATATGCCCTCTGGTAAATTAACATAGCTATTGAAAATGGTGATTTTCCATAGCTATGTTAGTTTACCAGAGGGTAATGCTTCTGAATATAGCGAAATGCCTTCACTTTTTGGGCAGAGTTTGACCATGTTTTTTTAACCAAATCTCTGGGAGCCAAAATGGCTCTCCGGACAAAAAGACCGTGGCTGGGAAATCCCGGCGACTTTTCCAAGGTTTGTAGCTGGGACAATCATCTATAACTAGTGGATTTTAAACTGCCATGTTTGATTACAGGAGGGTGTGTATATATATATATATATATATATGTATATATATATATATTTGTATATGTATATATCGCATGGAGTGTCACCCCAACAAACATCTCAGGGATTTGGCATGGCTTTAAAAAAAAACGGTGAGAAGTGAGAAGGTTTCAGCGTAGGCGGCATTTTCAGACACCGCAGGTTTCCATATTAAGCTCCTTATATCCCAATATAGTCCAGTAAATATATGTAAATATCCCAAATTTTCTTCGTTACATTTATAAGTAAATAATCAATCATCTACATTTCCAGGTGGTCACATTCCTATATATCCAAATAAATAACTATTTTCCATATATTTTGACATCCCAAAACTTCCAAAGCCTGGAGTGGCCAAGCTGCTCTCTGACATACCGAGCCTCTGCGGACCATTCCACCTGAAGAGTTCGCCCGAACGCGAAGTGGCGAGAAAGCAACGGGGGATAGTCTTTTTTGTGGGGAAAACATATGAATGAGCTAGAAATGTCTAATAGTTGACACAATACTGTAGTTGATGAACATGAAATACTAGTTGGTGACTACAGATTTCAGTCATCAAAATGAACAAATAGTTGAAACAAGTTGAAACCAACAGCCACTGGCCTTAGAAGTAAGTTTGCAATCAGATTATCCCCCCGATCAGGGTGGTCCTGAGTTGGGCAAGGGCAGGCAGCACAAACTGTGGCCTCGGCTACCGCTGAATTTGTGGCTACTCTGAGGGATTTAAGAAACAAACCAAAATAGTGATGCTTCGGGATATGAGAGAGCGAAAGAACCACCAATTTGGATACATTTGCAATTACTTACCCTCCAGCAAATCAACATAGACCCTGCCAAACATGGGCTTAGAAGATGAGTTTCCAATAAAATTTGCCTATTTTCAGCGTCTTAAAATTTCACTGGACGATAAATCAAGTCCGGGATGTCCTCTCTCGGGATCAATGGGTGCCCCACAAACATTTCCCAGTATTCCCAGTAGTTTCCGCAAAGTGTGGATCCAGCAATGGGAGAGAAATCTGCAGTAAAACTCACAACAAATCCATGCACTGCTAGTATCAACCCAACCATTAACCACAGAAACTGGGAGGACACCCTTTTGGTTGTAAAGGTGAATTGGAAATCATATGAAAGTAAGATATCCCATCCAACATTCCAATACAGTCCACTATAGCAACCCAAAAAATAATGTAAAACAACAAATTGAAAAACACTATCTACTTAAAAATAGTGATGTTCATGAAGTTTCTATCTTTCTGGGCTACATATTACATCCCCATATTGTTTGTTAATGTTAGTTATATGTCACTCTGCGCAGGCCGCTAAGGCCGGATGGCAAAAACGCCGGGCACCCATGTCTTCCATGTAGGATGATCTATTACATATTGTATACATGTTGTGTACATCTGTACATCATATTATATGCATTTATATGCTATAGATCTATAGGTACTGTATGGTACTGATTCAATTTGATGAAAGTCCGTTGCCTCCTGCCACAGCAAGTGCTAAAAACCTGTTGTGCGTTCTGAAGAGCAACGTCAATCAGTTGAATCTGAACATGTTGTTAACGGAATATCGACAAAAAACATTGGTATTCATTCATAGTCATGCGTGTATATAATGAATATGCATATGCATATGCATACGTATGTATGTATATATATATGTATATGTATATGTATATGTACATATATATATATATATATATGTATGTGTATATATATATATATGTATATATATGTAAATATACAGTGTATATATATATGTATATGTATATGTATATGTATATGTATATGTATATGTATATGTATATGTGTATGTATGTAATTTAATGTAATGTAATGGTATGAAATGTAATGCAATGTAATGGTATGAAATGTAATGTAATGGCATGTAATGGTATGTATGTATGCATGCATCGATGTATGTATGTATGCATGTATGCATGTCTGTATGTATGCATGTATGCACGTATGCATGTATGCATGTACGCATGTACGCATGTACGCATGTACGCATGTACGCATGTACGAGTGTACGAGTGTACGCATGTACGCATGTACGCATGTACGCATGTACGCATGCATGCATGCATGCATGCATGCATGCATGCATGGATGTATGTATGTATGGATGTATGGATGTATGTATGCATGTATGGATGTATGTATGTAATTAATGTAATCAATGTAAGTAATGTATGTAACAAATGTATGTAATTAATGCACGTAATTAATATACGTAATTAATGTACGTAATTAATGTATGTAATTAATCTACACAATTAATGTACGTAATTAATGTATGTAATTAATGTATTAAATAAATGTATTAATTTATTGTATTCATACATTAATGTATTTAATTAATGTATGTATATGTATATATTATGTATGTATGTATGTATGTATGTACGTACGTACGTACGTACGTACGTAATGTATTTATGTATGTATTTGTGTATGTGTGTATGTGTGTATGTGTATGTATATACATGTATATGAAATTATATGAAAATGAATATGTAGATGTATACCTGGACCCTCCAAATACCTTCAGAAACGGGAAAATATCATCAACTACCCCATTATATTGAGACTTTTACGAATCTTTGTCGGCGAGGCACTAAACCAGCGGCTTGGTCCAGGTGATAAAGGGCAGTCGATGGACATGTGCCACAACAATCTTCGTCGTGGCCCAGGGGACACAATGGAAGCCATGTGGCCATAGCCCATAATGTGGGTAAAACAATGCCATAAACCACCCATGACTGGGAATGGTTTATACCACCTATAAAAATTGTGATTTGGGGGATGGTGTATTATTGTTTTACCCACATTAGTTGATTTTTTTCGGCACTGGTGACGGGTGTTTTTCGGTTGTTCCTTTGGCATGTTCTTCATCCTGTGTACACGCTCAAGTGTTTGGAACATGTTTCTGCGAAGTATGTGGGTTTGTGGTAAACAAAGGACAGATTCCCTGATGATGACTTATCAACATTAAACGATTGTTTGATTCGAAAAGGCTGTTGCCGTGCATGTCCTAAGCCCAAGCTCCTAAGGAATGGCACCCTTGGGAATCGACAGTGCTGATTGTGGAATTAGGGGTACACTACTTTCAGACAAGACCATATAGTTAACAAGTTTGTGGTTCAAATACCTTGGAATATACAATCACAAACACAAAAACATCTTGTTGTTGCTGTTTGCTTTCTACTCTCGGTATTGTGGTAGGGACGAGATCAAGGGAACTTGAGAGTCTTGATCGATTGTTTTCATGTGTACCGCAAAGTTCTCAAATCATCCGATCTTTGATGGTATTGTATGCTATTGGGTACCGACAAATCCGTTGATTAATTTCAATTTGTACTGGCCACTTGGGGCATACTGGCCCCATTTTCAGACAAAGCCATAAGATATATCATGATAAACTTATAAACCCATATTAAGTTGACTATATTCCTAATGTATCCAAGTAAACGGTCCCATCAAATACTGCAGTTGGTTCATACCTCCCCCATTCTAGTCGAGTCCTTGGGGGAACGCCCGGGAACAATCCGCACTCCTGCTCGATTCATCATTCGCCACACAGGCCAATTCACAGCCTGGGTGCTGCAGAACTGGGCTACACTCAGCATTTTCATAGGGACCTTTCGGGTCCAGTCATAGTGATTTGCCTGTAAACAATGGTGGTATTCCATGGCTATGTTAAATTGCGCACTGTCCACTTGCGCTTGCGCAGATGCTTGCTGGTCCAAAGCAAGCTTCAGCTGACGTCGTGCCAAAGTCAAGGCATCAACCTGTCACAAGTGCTCATAGCGGAGCCAATTTTTGCAGAACAAAAACTAAACATGTAAACAAACCAGAAATGAGAACACACGGAATGAAGACTAACTAGAACCTCTCTTCAAATGGAATTGATGTTCTTGTTTTATCTGCAGTCTGAGAGCAGTCTGTTGCAAAAAGAACATAACTCCGATGACATAACTCCGAACTCCGATGACTTCCATTCAGCTCTTCTTCTGTTTCTTTCGGTTTGAAGAAACAAAACTGGACACTAGATGATAGATCTGGCGCGAACACGTCACATGTGTGACCTGTCGCAGGGAATCCTTGAAACGAAAGCCAAGTCGTTTGAAAGAAGAGGTTTAGGCTTTGAAGACGAAACGTGAAGCAAAGGCTTTCAACAATTGGACAAAGTGAAGGTGTCTCTTGTGAAAGAAGGGAATTCAATTGGCTCACAGCCGTGTGCCTCATCTGTTGCCGATTCCTGCAGGTTTGAGAACAAAGCACTCTGACTCAGTCTGCTACAAATTCCATGACAAAAGTTCATACGTCGGAAGGTCACCAAGCAAAGCCTCATCAGTACATACGACTTACTGCGCTATGTTTTGGTGTCGCATCTCGGAAGGAGCACTTCAAGTCAGCACATTTTGGGGGACGTCAACTAGCCCATCTCCTCGACTGGCTTGATTCCTTCCTTGTGGGTCCTGCACCGAACCAAATGGAAACATCTGCGATGAGAAAATGTGGCCTCTGCAGTCTGGCGAGGGTCGTGGTGTGCATGTAGGTCGGATAGTCTTTGGCAAATGCTTGCCAAGCTTCGAGTCCGCCTCCCAGAAAGTCTACCCGACCCCTGCCGCTCATGTCGATGGCGAAGGCTTTGCCAAGCACTGGCCGGTACCTCAAGCCAGCCTGTTCCACTGCATAATCTTCATATAACCGTCCCCATACCGTGTGTGCTGCTTCAAGCACTGGTTCTAGGTCAAAGTCCCACGACTCGCTCAACTCGGCAAGGAGGGTCGGACACTTCCTGATAAAGCGCCTTGACGTACCAGTGACAAAGCTTGTCGCATCTCATGTCACACAAAGCCACTCTGCAAAGGAATGACAAGATCCTATTGTGCACAAAGGGTTTTCGGCTTGAGACCAACTTCGAATTATCAGATCTATCAGTGACCGCAGTGTCTGCTTGTGACTTCAAGTCTCGCTGTTTTGGTTTTAGGCAGATCTGGAGTTGGAACATATGAGGTGGTGTGGGAAAAACGAAAGCCAAGAAATTCTTTAATCTTCTTCAGAGGCGAGGGAAAAACCGGGGAAATGCTCTAGGTTTCCTAAGAGAACCTGGGAGAAACTTATAATTCTTTTAAATTTCTTATGAAAAATTAAGAAAAATCCTCCATGTGATCCTTTACTTGGAACCCTTACTTAGAATCTCGGAACCTTGTACAATGTATCATACTGAAAAAGCAAATCACCTTGACTGTGCTGGACCAAATCAAGCATTTTTCAGTTTTGACATGTCTGACTGACATCTTTGGTGTCCTGAAGAATTCGAGCGCTCATGGGGTTTGAGCAGAATCGGCTGCCATTCAGCTACTCCACGTCAAGGTTTGCATAATCATGGGTGTCACAATTAGAAATTTGTCGGTAGGCAACTTAAAATCCTGTCGGTGGGCAGCAAAGCTTTTCAAAACGCCTCAGCATCTTCACTTTTGAGGGAAAGGCAACTTTGGCCATGCCATGCTAAAGCCATAGCTACATGATTCAGTTGTATCACAAGATGCGGAGCATGTGAAGCTGCGCAATGATAGCTTTACAGCTCATCAGTGAATATCTCTTCTCCTCTTGCCGCTTTGCCCAGGGTGTAGTTTTCTGGAACTTCTGCATCCCTTCACTTGTGGAACAAATTTGCAACAGTACATTCGTGTCAGGAACCTCCGAGCTCGGGTCACTGGTCCTGGGTTTCCACGCTTTGTTCTGGCATGTTTTAGTCAACTCCGTTGCAGTTTTGGGATTTCCGTAACGGCACTGTGCGGCTATATACTCTAGATCTCCTGTTTCAATTCGCTTCACAGGAATCAGCAAGTCATGGTGAGCATTCTTGATGTTCTTGTTGGACTTGATAGCCTTCCCGACCCTGTCAAGGACACTTGCTTCCTCATCTGGATGCTCGACCCCGTCACTCCAGCAAACACTGAATTGTTCCAATACACTGCGTAGATGGTTGTCTGTCGTAGGATAGATCTCTAGGAACGGTGCGTAGGTGTCGCATGGAGTTTTGTGATCTGCCAGGCAATACAAATAAAAACGGGCGGCCAAAGCATTGCAAACCTGCTTTTCCCACAGTGTCCCTCGGGAAAGCGGGCCTTGTTGTGGAGCCTGAAGCAAATCGGCAGGATCTGGCAAGAGACCTTCGAGGCTGATGTTCAACCCTCGGGCCTTTTGAGCCAGCACTTTCTGTCTTTTCTGATCCCGAAACCACCAAACGAGCGGCACCAACACAGAAGCGCCATCTGGAAATGCGGCTCCTGCGTTGAAAATGTCTGACCACCTTGTCGATGTCCCAGGCACAAGCTCCCTGTCGGTTGCGTTCCAACGAACTGCTGAGCAAAGAACCAGCGACAATGCCACATCTGGTTGATCAAAGAAAGGCGCTGCAGATGAATAGGAATTTTTAAAACATTCGGACATGGCGTTGAATGCAATCTCAAAAGTTGATGCTAATTCACCATCTGTTTGAAACACATATTCCAGAAGTCGTGGGACCCCAGCAGAGAAAAGATATATTTGATCGAGCACCTCCTCGCCGTATTGTGTCCCTCCCCACTGTACCATGGCTTCTTTGGCACCTTTAAAAGATAATGGCAAGAGGGCTGGTAAAGACTCAATAACAAGACGCGAGTACTCCTCTGCTGGCAAGTCAACCTGCATATTGATGGTACCTGTGCAATAAACAGCCATCTGCTGAGGAAACTGGCTACACACTTCGGTGAACCTTGATCTGCTTCCGCCAAGGGAGCTTCGCTGATCCAGCGTTTGTTTGACAAGGAGCTCAGTCTGATCCAACAACACCAAGCAAGCACAGTCCTGTTGAGCGTTGAAGGCTGCAGCCGTTACCAAACACCACTGCTTGAAAACATCATTCTTAGTCGTGCAAGCTGACCTAACCCAAGCTTCAAAGCTGTTGACCGAACCAGTTGGTCTTGAACGACGTTCGACGACCTCGACCACATCCTTGAAATCCATGCGTTTGAAGTTGACCACCTGCCCCGCCAACTTAACGCCGTAGCCGTCAAGCAGCTGCAAAAGGTGCCACAGGACCATGGCAGACACCAACGTAGAGGCTTCAACCGACATTTGACCAGAGGGAATCCATGCTGCGTCGAATATCAGCAAGCGTCCACATCGTCGGCTTTCTGCAAATTCATCCATCTTGGCCAGGCGTCGAATGACCGAGCTCTTTCCCATCCCTCGAGGGCTCCACAAACAAACGACTCTTGGTTTGTTGAGTTTCAGCCGCTGCGTCTCCTTCATCTCTGTCACGATGCTTTGAATCACTTCATCCCTCTCCAAGAAAGGCCTCTCTTCTATGTTGTTGATGCGGCTGTTCAAGATGCGCTCTTCAAGATCACCCAACTCTTCGGCAAACTTTTCAAGTAAGGTTAGGGATTCCTCCTTCTCCTCCAAGCCTGGCACCTGGACCAAGAGAACATCTCCGGTGTTAAGATGTCGTGTTGAGTCTGTTAAGCGTTATTTGACTCTCTGGTTCTTTCAATCCTGTGTACCATCCTTTTGTTTACCTTGTGGGATTCATTCATCTTTTGGAGGCCTACTGAGGGTATTCACTGAAGAAACAGAACTGTTTGAACCAAAGAATGTGGAGATATGCGAAATAGTTTTCATCTATTTTTTGCATCTTTCGGGAGAACTGTGACCACACTGAAGCTGTGCAGCGAATGGCCTTCTCCTGCTGGGCTTTCACCTTCTCCTTCGCCTCATTCACTTCCTTCTTTGCCTCCTTCACCTTCTCCTCCGCCTTTTCCACCTCCTTCTTCGCCTTTTCGACCTTCGCCTCCGCCTCTTTCACTTCCTCCTTCGCCTCCTTCACCTTCTGCTCATCTCCTGTTTCTTTGGCTTTTTGCCAGTCATCCACGGCCATGTCTACCTGCACTTGCGCACTGTCCACTTGCGCTTGCGCACTGTTTACTTGCGCTTGTGCAGTTGCTTGCTGGTCCAATGCAAATGTCAGTGCCGAAGTCAAGGCATCCGCCTGCACGAGTGCTCATAGCGGAGCCAGTTTTTGCGGAACAAACACTAAAAATGAAGACAAACCGGGAAACGAGGTGCTTATGCAATGAAGACTGTTTGACAGATTAACAAGCCAAAAACAGTCAGCATGTACACGCTTGTTTCTTGAGCCATACATGACGAGTATAAGCAGTGAGACCTATGAAAAACACCCCCCGCCGCCCCGTAGTTTTAACGGAGGACGGAAGGCCTAGCTCGGTCGCCAGAAGTGACCTGAGAGCAACGGAGCTACATGGACATCACTGCAGAATTATATCGTCAAAAGAGATCGGTCTCAACTCAACGGGTGCATGAGGCAAAAAGGCATAATCGGATGTTTTGGAGATCCCGGGCGTCGCATGTGCTTGGAAATAGCAAAAGCGACATTGGCCTGGCTTCCGCCAAGGCATAGGAGCATTACCACTCCTTACACTGCCTTGGAAACTTGAAAGCTACTGTATCAGGCCTATGTACACGGCTATATACACGCAAGCTACATGGATCGGATGCTGGTGTCGAAATCTTTTGAATCAATTGTGAAAAGTTTCAAGCCAATCAAGTTGGAATTTTAAGTTTTGGAAATGTGTGCAATTCGATTGAACTGAATGACCATGGGTCAGCTTTCATCCAATCGGCCAAACCTTCCGGTAGGCATAAAATCATGGCATAAGATGTGAAACATCTACCAAGATTCAAACTCTACCGTCCCATCATTGTAGGTGCGCTTGTAGTGCGGCTGGCCGTTGATCTCGCAGTACTCCTCGGCAATCACAACTGGTGCACGAGGCACTTGTCGTGGAGGCTCTGCTGCGGTAGCTGATCCAGAGGCAGCTTGGGCAGAATCGCCAGCAGCTGGTGTTGTGTCAGGCATAGGCGTCGCCGTTGATGGTGGCCGCACTGGTTCCGGAGGAGCTGCCGAGGAGCTTGATGCTGAAGATCTTCCCCAAGGATCAGCGGTCCAACCTCGGCCAGAGTAGCCCTGATTCCAATTCCAGCTTTGCCATTGGGCCTGCCCTCCCGAGCGGCTTGAGTAAGATCCATACGAACCCCACTGTTGCCCTCGGTTCCATCCACTGCGGCACTCAAAAGATTTGTGGCCATACTGACCGCACTTCCAGCATTCAATGGCCTGCTGAAAGATTGGTCGCTGTTGTTGACCATAGCCCTTGCCTTTGCCCTTGGCTGGCTTCTGAATCGGGTCAAAATGACGCCGGTATCCTTCTCGCCCTTCGCCAGTACCCGTCTTGGAGGACCTTGCCAATGGAAAATCAGCCACATCTGATGCAGTGGCTTCATCCACGAAGGAGTGTTCTTCACCCTTGATGTTATTGTATTGTTCCTTCCACTGCCTCTTCGCAAAATCGACGAGGTCGAAGAAACAATCTTGGGCTGACCCTTGATCCACAGGCATCATGGAGCCAGACCAACCAAATAACATCGGCGTGGGTTCCCCCCTCGCTTTCAGCAAGTCCGCAGCAAGAACAGCAAATTGTGGGAGTGTAAAAACTCGTGCATGATGCGCAACCATGGCTTCCTTTGTAACGTCCAACGGAAGTCGGATGTCTCTGTTGAAGTCTGGCATGAAAATCAAACGAGTGCTGACACCTGTT